TCGTCTCTGTCCGTTTGCCCACTCTCACTCCGGTTGGAGGTCCACGCCACTTCTAAACCAGGCCGCAATGAGTGCATTACGTAACTCTCCCTGGTACAGTTGAGTCCCCAGGTTATGTAACAAGACCCTGTCTCCATAATGACTGGACACCCGGGAGTGCAGCCGCCCCTGCAAAAAGGCCCACGTGCTCCCGACCAGGTTTGTGTATTTATTCAAAGAAAAAAAAAAAAAAAAGGTTTTTAAATGGAGCCCACAAACAAATCAAATATTTATTTGAACTCACAATGCGATATTTGCTTCTTCGGGGAAAAATCTAAATCTCATCAAGGATGTGCTGTGTCTCCCTCCCTCATGTCTACTTCGGCCTGATACAATAAGAGTCTTAGTGTATCATGGAAATCATAGAAAACAACGGTGTCCTCCCCTGTCTATGTATTAACCTTCTGTTGATGCTTCTGAAATGTTGAATCTTGCCACAGTCGGCCACAAGCAGCTGCACTTTTTATCCCTTGCAAGAAAAACACTTTATTTACGACTGCTCCGAGAAAATCTTGCATCACATTACTGGACGACATGGCCGGCTCAAAGGGACGATATTCCACCTGCACCTCCTCTGCAACCCCCCCCCACCCCCCCACACCCTTTCTGCCCTCTTGCTCTCTCGCTTTTCAAACAAACAGGTGTGTAGAACAAAACACTCCAGCTATTCTCTCGGTGTACTCCTCTCTTTTTGCCCCCCGGAACTCCCTTCTTCCATCCTCCATCTCCCCCCGCCAGGGCAAATGTCAGCCTTCACATCCTCTGCTATCAAAGGCGCCTCAGTCGCAGCAGCATCCACCCAACTGTGACCGCTCCTCTCACGTCAGTTCACAGGACGAGGGAGACGGAGGCCCTAACGGGGAAACGGTTGCTGTCCCTGAAACGCTGAGTCCTTCGCTTCAACAAACAAGTACACAAGTACCCCAGCCAACACGGCGCAGACGGGACTGCAAAAGGCTCTTCGTCTCAGCCTCTATCTCTGGTGTGATGGTATCACTACAGGAGGGCGTGATACATGTGGACGGTACGGCCGTTAACCTCCCAGGGAGGGTCTGGCGATGACACGCCTTTGAGCTGCATTGTCAGGCAGGTGGTATTTTTCGGTTTGAGCGACACTGAGGACTAAGAGTCATGATATCTCTTAGAACTTTAGTCTCTGTTCTGTCTCTGGCCACTCAGACCCTCAGATATGGAGGTTCAATGCTAAGTCACCTTCATTTCAAAGAGATACAACATGTCAATTATTAAACTCCAGAGGTCCCAACAGATAGATAGTTGGTCTTATTTCTAATCTGAGATAATCACTTCCTGGGTGTGGTTACTTTAAACACACACACACACACACCACGTGAGGGCGGCAATCTTCTTATCCGACTCAGCAAGACACTAAATGAGAGTATTTCCCAATACGGCTGAGGGAAGTGGGAGAACGTTCTCACAGACAAACAGAGACGGCAGTCCACACCGCTTTCTGCAGCACTCACAACTGCTGTCAGCGAGTCGTAGAATACAGAGGAGGTCTTTAGACCATGAGGCACTGCAGCCCTTTGGTGCCCACTGAAGTTAATTACTTGCATGGCCTCAGGACTTATCCGCTCCCTGTACGAAAGAGAGAGAGAGAGAGAGAGAGAGAGAGAGAGATGGTGCTGATGCGGCACCGAGGAGCTGCTCCGACCTGTGTGCGTAAAGGGAATCTGTAAATAGCGAACTGAGCTTGCATCTTTGCGTGCTGTGCATTGAATATCTGCTTGTGTGTGTTCGACACCTGCCGAAGGCCCATCGCGGCCTTTGGGGAGTGACGAGGCGCCGGCTGATTGAGACGTTAAAGGATGGAAGAAGGGAGTGAGCTAGTCGAACAGGGATTCTGAGTTTGATGTCACGGAGGAGCTTCTCGCTGCTGAGTACTGGATGTAGAAGCTCCTGTAGTTTGATTCCAACCAGGCACTCACCTCTGATGTGTTGATCTCAGACCACATCTCTCTCTACGGTACCTGCAGGAAACACGTGAGGATGGAAACTTGGCAAACAAGAAAACAGAAAGGGAAGCGATAGGTGCACCCCTTTTGAATTGAACTAGCTGAAGTGAGGGTCGGGTAACTTTTCTGAATGAACGGGGGAGGGTTCCTTATTCCCCGAGAATATTTCAGGAGGTTCATGAGTGATGGGGAAAATATAACAATGCTTGAGTGGGTTTGGCCTCTTTTATTCAATAGAGTTTGAGATTAATTTGGCCTCCCCATATTTTGATAATGAATAAAAGCAAAACTATTTAAATACACACTCTCATTTTATTTTTACAGCAATTGCTGCATTCTGAATGCTGTTGGACTTCTCTGTTTTTACAGGCAACATGTGAAAAGTCTCAATACCTCTGCATGATCTGGATTAAGGTCGATCTGGAGAGGTGACAAGAAAAAGAAGGTTCATCGGCGAGTGTAGACTGCAGGTCACAATCACGTGTATGAACAGAATGATTAACAGCAAACAATCAGAGAAGAGACAAAGTAAAGCCAGGCTGAACCCGACTGTAGACCTCTGATCCCAGACCTGCTAGAAAATGACTTGCCCAAAATGAAGGGAATCTGTCTGTGGGAATACAAAGTATTTTTGAATTGTCTTGTTGCCGTCATAAACATATTTGAACCTGTGCACAGATTGATTTCTATTGATTAAGTAAGGCAGCCATGCATGAGGAGACAAAACATCCCGTCATCCGACCCCAAATCAACATGTATCCACTCTAATATTGATGCGCATGAAGTTGGTGAGCAAAAGAAATGACCTGCCTCCATGTACCAAGGTTGGAGTTGACTATTTTGACACCCTGGAGTCATGTGCATGGCATGCAGAGGAGCCCCCTTGGAAGTTTCCTACTATTTGGATACTGACTCAAGGTAAAAACTCTATTACTAATTACTATTTTGGATGTACAGTAGGAGAGGACAATTCTCTCACTTCTGATCTGATGGAACCTACTTTGTTGGACCGAAAAGGTAGTTGAGAGGAACACTTGCTGCTGTAAAAACACAAGCAGCTTTTCTTCAAGAAGGATCAAAGAGGACAGCTTCTCATCGTGAAGGTGAACAATAATGAGGATGGTTGGACGGATACTAACATCTGTCCCGCTTCTGGATTTATTGGCTGCATTAAATAAATATGTATCAGATCCACTACCCTCGCGTTACTGATGCAAACTAAATGGTATTCTTTGATGCCATTTTATTATTAGTGAGACGTAATGTGTAGCTGGCTCCTGCTTCTTAAAGGAGAGGGTGGAGTGGTGCGTTGCTGCCACCTGCTGTGCATTCTGGGAAAGTTGAACAGACTAAACTATTTAAAAGAAGAATGTTTTATCACTTTCTGTTTTAGAAACAGTAAACATTGTGCTGAATGTTGGCTCCAGACATTCGCCACTGCAATCCTCACCAATAAGCACCAATCTGAGTTATTGAGTTGGCGATGTTTCACGAGTGTCTTAAAAGTGTCCTACTAGTGTTTCACCATTGTTTTACCGCTGTTTTGTTGTTCAATTATATTTAGGTGTTGTAAATAAAAGTAAATAATATTGGGGGGACCGCGGACGCTATGGCCAACACGACTCGGGGACCGGAGTCCGATTCCTTGGCGTGAGGAATTGGATGTGTGGCGTGAGTGCGTGACACTTGAGAGCCCTGCATCATTTCCTGTTAAAAGACCGACAGACAGTCCGTCTGTCCAATCAGAAGGGTCTGTCCTCTGCAATAAGGCCCCACCCTTTCCGTAAGAAGTTAATTTTGTTGTGTTTTCCTATTTGCCGTTGTGTTTTGCACTTGAGGGCCTCCGTATTAAACCCTTAAAAATGCTTTTCTACAACCAGTTTATTAATTGCAAGTGCTGGGATGGGGAGGCCATGGGGAAAATAACGGAAGTGTCTCACATTGATAAGATGTCCTGGTTGTAGAGACACAACAGGTTGGTTCACATGTGTTGGGTGCAAGCAAGTTTTATGTTGATGGCATCTGGAACTGAACTGAAGTATAAGCACGGCCTTTCCCTGTTGTGGTCCCTGAATTTTAGATGTCTTATATAGATGCATCCACTGGAAGAAACCATCTTGGAGCCATCGACTTAAATATGTTACCAGTTCTGTTTATTGGAGTGACCAAAGCATTGTTTTGGCATAGAGAGCTGAAGTTCCTCCATGAGGCTGAGATGTAGTTCTCTGAGCAGTTTCACCAAACTACATTGCACTAACACTAAACACACAACACGTTACACTGAAGCCATTGGTTTTGGTAAGCGTCTTATGTGGTCCCTCAATTAGATAATGGCGCGCTCACTATCTTTTCGAAACTAACTGTAAATTGCATGAAATGACGCCACCTGCACTGCTCATGCAGATGCATGCCGATATTTTGTTAATATCTTTTTTTTAATCAGATCTGGTTATGAGGTTCATTTATAATTGGCCAGGTTGATTTAAATATCCAAACTTGTGTGATTTTAGGTATGTTATGTATGTTAGATTTAATTTACAATTTACTTGTGACTGCTTTCTGTCACTGACTGGTTTGCAAGAATATTCACTTGCTAGTCCTCCGAATTGTCTGTGTCAAACATAGTGGACTGTATTCCTTATTAGATCCATTGAAAAGATAAAAGTCACCAGATATTTCGTTGTATGAACATATGCTTGACCTGCAATGGACGGCGGCTGGATATGAGATAAACTAGATTAACTTCTAACAAATATTTAACATTTTTTCTGGTCAAGAACGCAATGTGCGGTTTCTTTTAACTTGTTTGTTTCCACAGGCCTCAACAATGTCACACTCAAGCTGGGAAAAAGCATTTTATGGAAATATCTGCTTGTCAGTAACCAGCGCATCCCTCATTATCGCTGTCAAGTGTTTACAGTGTCTTCATTAGCAGCCAGCCCTCTTGTGATAACAACTCTCAAAAGAAGGCATCAATGGCAGTGATAAGCTTGGCCAAGCTACTATTTTGGTCGTCACAAGTCCCCCTGTTTACTCTGGGAGCATGGGAGCGGACATCAGGACTGTGGTCCTTGCATTGGAGATCTCCATTTTCCAACCTTGTCGTCGCAAAGTCTGTTTTCAGGCCGGGCAGAAGGTAAAGTTTGTGCCAGCTCAGTGGATTAGAAAGGACCTAATTTCAAAATGTGGAACTCCAGATCCTCCCTGTTCCAGTTCTGTTTGTGTCTGGTGGTTTGTACGGGCTTCTGCACCTGTAAACCTCTCAATAATGACATCCGGAGTGAGGACCCTGAGGGACTCTACTCCCAGCTGTCAGAGGAGGATCTTCTAGTGGAGGAAGAAGACGACTTCAGGATGGAGGATCTCCTGGGAACAATGAAGGAGGACTTTCTGAGGAAACTCAACCTGTCGGATGTTCCTCAGGAAAACAGCAAGATCTGCCCTCCTCAATTCATGATGGAGCTCTACAACAAGTACGCCTCGAACAGCTCGGCAAACCCTCAGTCTGATGTCATTCGAAGCTTCACCGTCCAAGGTACAGGAATGTTTAAATCGTCTAGCTTGAGGTAGCCATTTCCTGTTAATAAAGGTGGCTGCTATTCTTATCGGGATTGTTTACCATTGGTAATCCCCATAGTTACAGAGCTCAGTCTTTAGAAATGACTCCATGCCAAATGTATATATTGCAGCTTTAGGTTTTGTGATTGTAATATTGTTATGTTAGAATTCGTTTTGCATTGATTTTACAGTATAAACAATTTTAAACCAACTTTTGGCCTGGACGTGGACAAAGTCGTGACGTTATCCATTCACATTGGTCCGTCAACTGTGAACAACCAGTTCATGAAAACGACCATATGTGGACTGCAGAGGAGTGATGTAGAGGTGCAGAACGAGGCTCTGCTAGGAACCTGTCAGTCACAATGTAGCACCGCCCTGAGGCCTACTCTACGTTATGGTCTATTTTATTCTAAATGGGACCATAATTTACCAAATGAACAGTGTGGTGTATTGAAAAAGAAACTGGTGTTTGAGACCATGAACTCCGTTCGGATTCACAATGGGTTCACAATGATTACAGAAGTAGTGTTAAATCAAGTGGGAAGGAGAGTCATTTTCACAACAAGAGGGGGTAATAGACATCATTGTATTTATTTTGTAATAAATACAAATGAGTGAACAAGCTACAACAAACCCCAATGATACTTGTCCTACTGATTTATTTAAAAAACAGTCTCATCTCAGGGAGTGCAAATCTTGGAGGCCGTTTCATCCCCTCTTGGTTTCTATCCAACAGATATCCCTCTCTCTGTGACAAACGGAACAAAGTCGAGGCACAGGCTCCACTTCAACGTCAGTATCCCCAACCATGAGAAGATCACCACTGGTGAACTGCAGCTCTTCTTCTTCCCAGAAGCCGGATCAAGGGTCCCCTCCCACAATGTCATGGCCACCATCAAAGTCTATGAAGTAGATTACAACACTTTTCCAGCCACCACCCAAGTGGTGGTTGGTAAAGAGGTGACGGGCTTTGAGAGCACGTGGGAGACTTTTGATGTGACCACAGCTATTCAGAGCTGGATCAAGTCGGGCCATGGAGCATTGGCGTTTGACGTTGTGGTGGATGGGAAGGATTGTGGGGCCTCTGAAGACGAAGAAGAAAGCGCAGGCTGTTTGAATTTGAGCGTGTCGGTTGGAGATAATACTTCAGCGGCTTTGATAGTCTTCTCAGATGACCTGGGTAGCAAGAGGATGGAAACAAAGAAGGAATTAAGGGAAATGATCCTGCACGAGGAAGAAACCATCCTACACTCCGGCGCCGGAAACGAGATCCCGGAGGTTCAACAACCACGGAGACAGAAACGAAAGGCAGAGAGGGAATACTGCCGGCGGTCCTCTCTCAAGGTCAACTTTAAGGACATCGGCTGGGACAGCTGGATCGTGGCGCCTCCAGAATATGACGCCTTTGAATGTCGAGGTCTGTGTTACCACCCGTTGACGGACGAATCAACCCCTTCAAAACACGCCCTCATCCAGACGCTGATGAACATCAAGAACCCCAAGAAGGCTAACATGGCCTGCTGCGTCCCCATCAAACTGGACCCCATCACAGTCATGTATCAGGAGAACGGACGCCTCACTATAAGATACCTTTATGAGGAGATGAAGGTGGCAGAGTGTGGCTGCAGGTAGTCAGAGAGAATTGGTCTGCTGGTAGCCCAGGCGATCATAATGGTTCAAATGTTGCATTTGATTCAAGTCAGTCTGATATATTTGTTTGGCCAGTAGAAGTAAGCTACCCCAGCTGGAAGAGGAATGTAAAATATAACTTTATACATCCCAATTTTGCAGCAGCTGCAGTTTAAAAAGTGCGTAGAACATAGATGGGTTGAATTTTAAAACGTAACAGCATTAGTGAAAGTGATTATGTTTACCAGGTTGACATGATGTTAGCATGGTTACATCTACAGCACTCAAGACAAGTATAGCTGAGGTTTGTCGGCTTCATTGGCTTCTCGGGATTCAAAAAAACCAAAAACGTCTACCTTGTGGAACAAAAGGAAAGACAGTAGATCACCAAAGTCATAGGAGCTGTGTGGCATTAATGTCTGAACAAAATCTCATGGTAATCTGTCAAAGGGTTCTTAGAACCAAGCCGCTTGCATTACTAGCAGTATAATAAAGTCATGCAATTTCTTGCATTAAACATACTTTTTGTACCTTTTTACACCGTTGTCATGAAACAATGCTGTGGCATTTACAGTAAATAAGTCTTAAACTCAAAAGGAAACCTCTTGACAGATGGAAGCAACGAAAGGTCAGCTACAGTTTGTTGCGTGAGCTGTTAGGAATTCTAATGGAAACGATGGACTTTTCTAAAATTGTCTTGTTGTTTTTATTTTTGTTGTTTTTTCAGCATCTTGCATTTTAACATCAACAAGCATTAATCAAAAGGGTACAGATCTTTACATTGTGTATTTAATAATGGATATGTGTACATAAAAAGATTGCCCATACACTGTCTGGGTCAAATCCATTTTAACAAAACTGTAAAAAATTAAACAAAAAACATACCTTGAAATATCTGTTATTGGATCACTTTGGTTACTATTACAACAACATAAAATTATGTTTGTTTTTTGCAGTTAAGAGTGCATCCATCAGTGATGTTATTAAAATAAATTAATTGACCTTTTGGGATTGATAGGGTGACATTTAATCGCAACCTGTTAATCATGTACTAGTTTTAGTGTAAATCTGTACATTGAAGTGTAATTTGTTTATAATAATATATATTCATACATACTTGTACAGTATTCAGCTTGAACATACTACATCACTGAGTGAAGAGTTTTTATTGTACTGTATGTCTCATGATGTCTACATTTAGTTTCTGAGGCTTTCCCTTAAATGAATAAAGAATCTCATCCCAAAAGGAATTTCTAACTATTTTAGCTCCACCTTTATTTTCATGTCAAAATGTCTCTGACTTCAGGTTGGAGTATTGACTTCTACAATTCATATATCTACAACACAGAAAATCATCACAGATCTGTCAGATCAGGCGCGCCTGCCTTTCTTTCCTAAGTTGACACTTATCACCTTGGACCGGCAGCTTCTAACTAATAATCATCCGCATTTCTTTCAACAAACAAAGGTTCACACGATCGATTAATAGTTTCATCCCACAGCACAAATAGCTATTATTTGATACATGTAATGTTAAACTAACACAATGAGGTAATCATTCTCACATATACACAGAACTAGATAAATCACACAAGAAAAGGTCCGTTAAAGCTTCAGGATGTAACCTGGGGAGAAAAATTTGTTTTTTATTCAGATAACCCTGACTTCAAGAAAGAACAACATAAAGGGAAAAACTACTTTTTTTATCAAGGGAAGTACAAGAGTAAAGATTAAATAAAGTTGTGTGGAGAACCTGCTGAGAGAAAGAGTGGGGAGAGTAGAGGAAGGGCCTTAGGTGGAATAGGGGCCGGTAATTTCATTGGACGAGTTAATCAAACCTGAAACAGAGAACAAAAACATTGGTGTATTTTCAATTTTAATAATGTTTCCACATTTCAAACACAACCTGGGATGTTTTCAGCGATAAATACACGCCTTAGCAGCGAAAGATTGAGTTACTGCTTTAAATCATAGGTGCTGCCACTGCTGGTTAGAGGAGAGTATAAAACGCTGTGACGCTCTGTCTATGGCAGATTACATTCTTTTAAATTGGTGCAGTTCAATACTGTATAGGTTTAAGCGTTCTAGTGGCTCAATAATGACACAATGTAAGCACCACTATCTTCTTATTTGTCTACAAAAAAGAGATTTTGTTTTTAGTTTTGTACAGTTTTGTACAGTAACAGGTGTGTTAGCTTTTAATTCTGTAAAATTTTCAACTCTGATATTTGAATATTTCATATTTGCTGGAAAAGTCATGTCAAATGTATCTTTTACACCATCAATACAAATCTTGAATTACCTAAACTCCAACGGTCTGTAAACCTGTGAATTTGTTACTAATTTGTTGTTTGAGTTAGGGGACGGTCTATTCACAGTTAAACTACTCATAGGTCAAGACTTGTATTGCATAAAGGGAAAAACATGTACATAGAACAAATTCCAGTGTCACTTTTGTAAATATTCAAGGTCAGTGACACGTCCTTATCAGCGCTGAAACTTCTGTGACAAGAGCAGGCGGCAAGTTCATGTAGAGACACTTGCACATCCTTTCAGGGTGACCCATAATTACTCTGGTCTCAAAATAGCATAAAAAATGAGGCAGCCAAAACCATTTCCATTTCCCAAGAAAATAATTGGCTCAGTTGACTTTAGCCCCCAACATCATGCTTGTGTTGGGTCTGTCTGTCTTTTGAGTTTCCCCCCCTCCCCCTCCTGGTTGTCAGCTGGTCTAGATGAGATCTTCAAGCAATTCCTGCCACCTGCTGCTGATCTTCTTGATTGCCTCTACTCGCCTCCAGTATTTAAGCCCCCAGTCTGCTCTTCCAGTCTTTGCCAGTTCGTCAGTTACTCTTATCAGCGTAATCAGCGTCCCGGCTGCTGTTCTTTCGAATAGTATTTTGGTTGCTTAACTATTAGTAGTGGTATTTGTGTCCACGATTTAGCTCCCAGCCGTTTGCTTATTCCCCAGTTTTGTCCTGCTCCTCCGCCTTGACCAGGTCTTCTCCCTGCCTCGCCAGTTCCAGTCCGAAGCTCCAGCATCAACCTTAAACCTAAGTTTATGTATTGTGATGTCACGAAAGGCTGGGTCTTGGAAGGGAGATACGTTCACCGGCGATGGCTGTAACTACCATCTGCTGGTGGAGTTAGGAACTCCACCCCGAAACTCAGAGCATTCCTCTCACACCTGAAACCCATCAGGGTATGACGACCGGGAGGCCTTCATAAAGGTGGAAGACACACCGTTGAGAGACGAGCTGAGAAGAGCAGACCAAGACCGAAGGATTCTCGGAGGCAGGAGAGACCGGGAGGACGGTGTTTTCTCCTCAAAGAAGTGGATTTCCGTATAAGTTCCATTTAAGTATTTCTTACCCACTGATTCCAAATAAATTGCTGAAAATTCACTGACTGAAGAAAGTGTAGCGTGTGTGTGAAGCGGTCGGGATGAGGATTAGAAACTCTAAATCTGAGGCCATGGTTCTCAGCAGGAAACCGATGGATTGTCTACTCCAGGTAGGGAATGTGTCCTTACCCCAAGTGAAGGAGTTCAAGTACCTCGGGGTCGTGTTCACGAGTGAGGGGAAGATGTAGTGTGAGTTTGGCCGGAGAATCGGAGCAGCGGGGGCGGTATTCACTCGCTTTACAGCACCGTTGTGACGAAAAGAGAGCTGAGCCGGAAGGCAAAGCTCTCGATCTACCGGTCAATCTTCGTTCCTACCCTCACCTATGGTCATGAAGGATGGGTCATGACCGAAAGAACTAGGTCACGGGTACAAGCGGCCGAAATGGGTTTCCTCAGGAGAGTGGCTGGTGTCTCCCTTAGAGATAGGGTGAGAAGCTCAGCCATTCGTGAGGAGCTCGGAGTAGAGCCGCTGCTCCTTTGCGTCGAAACGAGCCAGTTGAGGTGGTTTGGGCATCTGGTGAGGATGCCCCCTGGGCGCCTCCCTAGGGAGGTGTTCCAGGCACGGCCAGCTGGCAAGAGGCTCCGGCGAGAGATTTTATCTCTGCACTGGCCTTGGGACACCTTGGGATCCCCCCAGTCACAGCTGGTAGATGTGGCCCAGGAAAGGAAAGTTTGCGACCCGACCCCGGATAAGCGGTTGAAAAATGGATGGATGGAAGAAAGTGTATAATTCACCAAATATCCAGACTGTTGGAGTTTGTCAATATTACTATAAATGACAACTCAATAGATATTTACTTAAAGTGGCCAAAAATGGCCAGAATTCACACGAATGTCTCATTTAATGTTGTCATGTAATGTCAACATTACATGACAACGAATGTCATGTACATATTTTAAACGGGATCCTTTTCACGTAATCACAAGAAATCTGAGAAGTGTTAACGTCTATTTCTTTTTCAAACAGCAATTCTTTCCATCAGTGGATACCTAAATACATACAATAGGTAGATAAATACAATAGTCTTGTTTAGACTGCAGTACAATCCACCTCCACGTTTAATCATTGAAAGATTTAAGAATCAACTCCATCTTGAGATTTCGGACTTGTTCACGATACTTAGTGGTCACATTGATATATTCTGCATTAACAATACACTCCTATCAGTCTCACGCTCTCAATGACGTTTTTTGACATCCTTTAGTATACTTTTTTAACACGATGCTATGCCATTTTTTTAACCAAACTGTGACTTATTTAGACAACATGCTAAACATACTATGAAGAACTAAGTGTTTCTCTATTTTTTTGTGTTTGTGTAAACACATGGTTAAATGTAAAGGGTGGGAATTGATAAAACCTAATATTTAACTATCATCACGCTGTGTGCAGGGCTTGACATTAGCACACTAGCCACTTTGGCGGGTGGAATACTTTGTGATGCTGTGCTTTCCGAGCTCTGCGTGTCATGGATGCTTTAGTCCATAACTCATTTATTCGTGACTGCGTTCGTCCTCATAGATGCTTCCAATCTTTTTCTTTCTTGTTTTATTCCTCTCCCCCTCTTCTGTCCCCTCTCCCTCTTTCTCTGGAGGAAGACAGATGTGGTGGCGGGCGTGGTTTTGGCTCGTCTGCAGCGGGAGAGAGGGGGGAGTGGCTCAGGGAACGGTGCCAGGTGGGAGCAATTGGCATCTGCACAGCTGATGCCTATCTAACGTTGTGTTTGTCTTTTTAAGAGCAGTGAGAGCGGCGACAAGGGGAGAGACGCGGGGACCTCACTGCTCCGTGTGTGTGTGTGAAAATTGCAATAAAAACATATTGTATTGCGACCAACCCTGCCGTGTCGTGTTGTCTCTGCGCCCCGAGAACCTACAGTCGTGACAGTGGCGCCCAACGTAGCGGGGGAACGGCGGAATGACCGACGAGCAGCAGCAGGGGATGCCGGCTCAGCCAATCCTGGCGCTGGGTCGGATGATCGGAGAGCTGGCGGCCATCCAGCGGGACCAGGCGGAGGCCAATCGACAGTTCCTGGGGGCGCTCCAAGCCCAGGTGGGGCGTCAGGCCCAGGCTCTGGAGCAACTGGCGGCGCGACCGGCCGACGCTCAGCGAACGCCCGGCCCGCGGCGCTGACCGGACTGGCGCTCCATCGCATGACAGCGGAAGATGACGCGCAGTCCTTTTTGGAGGCCTTTGAGGCGATGGCAGAGGCGTGCAGCTGGCCGGCGGAGGAGTGGTCGGTCCGGCTTCTGCCTCTCTTATCCGGGGAGGCGCAGACGGCGGCCATGGGGCTGCACATCCGGCGGCCGGCGGGACTACGCATCCGTGCGTAAGGCGGT